AATTAATATTCATAAAATATATTTAACAATATTTAATTTAATTTACTTCAATACTTAATTAAGTTCATTAATTAATTAATTCGGGATTTATTCAAAAATTACGAATTAAGCTTTAGAGTGTACCGATTGAAAATCAGATGTTATGTCTATGATCTGCGCGAAGAGGAGAGCATTCTGTCTCTTGAAGTCTTGTCGGAGTCTCGTCGGCCGGTCGCCGGACCACCGCCATCGCCGCTACGCGCGGTGGCCGGAAAAGTCAAATCTTCACCAAAATTAACAAACAATACATCATTTTATTCGTTTCAATGAGTGAGAGGATCACTAATATGTATTCAAATCAAGGTGGGTGTGAACTATTTGGCCGAAAATTGACCGAAAAGGTTCGGTGATACCCATTTTGGGTTTTCCAATTCCGACTATTACAGTCGACGAGGAGGCCACCAAATGAAAGAGGAAGAAGAGAGGAGTCGAGCAACACCTACCTCGACGCCTCAAGTCATCGGAAATGATGGGAAATCGCCAGAGAAGTTGTTACAATGGTGCTAAACATTTCGATTGAGATTTCTCTCAATCCGGCCTCAAATCTCGCCAACCAAGGTTTAAATCAAACTCCTTGCGACGAGTAGATATTTTTAGAGTATCTATTTTCCGGATTTGGCGGCCGGTGGTTGGAGAACGAGAAGAAAAGGGGAGGGGGTTGTTGAGAGAGAAGAGCGAGAGAGAGAACACTGAGTCTCTCTTCTCGTTTCTCTTTTCTTTCTTTTTTTTTTCTATAATTTTCTAATTGGTGGATGGGGTTTGGGTCGATTCGAGTCTGCTTTGGTTTAAATCATGGTTTTAGCTTGGTTTTTCAATTGATTTATGGATTTTTCGAAAAATAATTTGATTTGGGTCCGGTTCAATTTATGTGATTATTTTGGTTCAGTTCCGTAATATTTTCTCTAAATCTATTCGTTAAAAATATTAATACAAAAGATATTATTTAGGCTGATTAATTAAATACAGTAGACATATATATAACACATTCCTTAAATCGATAATATGTTCTCATGAAATTTTAAGTATTACCCAAACGAAAATTCTAAATAATATGTTTTTGGGCTTGGGCCCAATTCGTAAAACTTTGGGCTCAATTAGAATTACTCGGTCTTAATAGCCCATATTATCATAAATCTGGATTTTTGATTTAATGAAAATTCAAAAGTTTTGAAAATAAAAATTCGGGGTATTTCAATATGATTCCTTGGATCAGGCCTGTTATGCCTTTGACCCTAAGATGAAGCTATCTTTGATTTGTGAAATTTCCACTTCTGGAAGTTGATTCGAGGTTCGATGATGTCCGATTGACTAATTCTTGATGTGTTGGAACCATGACAAGATTTTCTACATCTCGAAATCATGGGTGGGGCCCATGGTGCCTTAGGTACGGCCTATTATGCCTTGGAACCCAGAAACAGGCATTTCTCATGCCCCTGTGCTGAAATCATGGTCAATAACAGGTACTAGGTTTTGAACGTGCGGCTAAACCTACAAAAATACTCTGACCTATGCAACTTGTTACAATAACACTCTAAATTGACCTTGTTACAATAACACTCTAAATTGACTTTCATCCTCCAAGCACCCCAACTTAGAAATTTAGAAATATTGTCATCCTAAATTCAAAATCAGTTAGGATTTATAATAAAATAATATAAAAATGGGTCCCTCCAAATTAACTTTGGTTAACTTAACCCAAGCCCTCCTAAAAACACAAAAAAGCTCGGTTGTGATCTTCACCAAAACCCCTGATTTCTCTCTCCCCCTCTCCATCGTTCCCCTTCTTTCATCTCTTTGTGTGGGCAATGATTTGCGTTTCCTTTCTTGTATCATCTAATTACTATTTGTTTATTCTGAAGCTTTTGTTTTTTCTTTTCAAAATTTTTCCCATGTGTTGTTTCTTTTTTTCATTCTTCTTCATTTTGCTTGCTCAGTGTTGTAATGGGTTTTGCTTCAGGTGGTTCAACTGCTTGAGTTAATAATATTTAAAGATGGGTATAACTTTTTGTGAACCTTCCTTTTATCCCCAGAATTGTTGCAATTAGTCAAATGGCTCAAATCAATTCTCGTAGTATGAAAATGAGAAATGGTTGAAAAATGTGATGTAGATATACTATTTATATGACTTATCTAAGATGGTGGTTGTCAACAAAAGGAGTATCCTAGAGCATCCTACAATTAGAAACATGTTGAGAAAGGAACTCACGTTTGAGTATTGCATGCACTTGAGTCCTTAGTGACTTTTGGTTGCACCTTAATTATCATTTGGGAAACAATGGTTGTTCACCATTGGCACACTATTGGCACCCTTGAGTGGATGATCCCTGATGAAATAGTACCACCTTTACTGTCTTTCGATTTATGTCTTTATTATGTTTTTTCCTTTTTAATATATTTTCTACCATCCAACTAATGGAACAGCTGGAATAGCTGTACAGGATTAGTTCTGGGAATAGATATATTTAGCCTTTGTATTTGAATTGTATAGTCCTTATCTCATGTAACATGATAAGGTTGGTTATACTGATGTATATTTAAAGAACACAAGAATGAATAAAAATACAATTTCGTTTTCTCCCTTTTATGGTATCAGAGCCATAAAACCTTTCGGTTTTCTTTACTCTGTTTCTGCTTCGTTTTCAATTTTTCCTTTTTCTTCCCTTTTCATATTACGATGTCTTTATCTTCTAATATATCGAATGTCACTCATTCCTCAGGGAAGAATCTGGTTTCCTTTAATGCCTCTCAATTTCCTTTGAAACTTACGCAACAAAATTACCTAACATGGCGTGCTCAAATTGTCCCTGTTCTTCATTGACATAACTTAATGGGATATGTTGACAGAACTCTCCCATGTCCTTCTGTGGTTCTTCAGCAAGAAGGGAAAGATGTTGCAAATCCAGATTATGAATACTGGATGTGTCAAGATCAACTGGTGTTGGCTGCAATCATTGCTTCTACAAGTTTCTCAGTAATGCATATTGTCTCTTCTGCTCTAACCTTAGCTGATGCCTGGGATAAAATTCAGACTACTTGTGCAAATCGTTCTGCAACACGCATTCTTTCTCTTCGTGACAAGCTTGCTAATTACAAGAGAGAATCTACATCTATATCCGAGTATTTGCAGAATGTTAAACTCATTTCAGAGGATTTAGCTCTTTCTGGCAGCCTTGTCTCTGATGTGGATTTGGTAATTTATGTCTTGAATGGTGTGGGAACTGAATTTCGTGATATAGCTGCAGCTGTATGTGCGAGGGATTCTATTATTTCTTTTGAAGAGCTCCAAGATAAACTTCAGGCACATGAGCTATATTTGAAGAGGGTTGATTCCTCGTATAATCCCATGCCCATTACTGCTAATATAATCCCATGCCCATTACTGCTAACAACGTGAGGAAAGGATCACTTCACAGGCAGAATACTCGGTTTGATGGACAACGTGTGTCCACTGAAACTTCAAATTCTTCGGGCTCACGGTTTCTTCTAGATCAGACCTCTTGGTTTCAATCGGCGCAAAAGACATCTGGTGGTTCGAAAATTTTTTGTCAGATATGTGAGAGGCCAGGTCATAGCGCCAAACAGTGCTTTCGTGCTAAGGAATTCTTTACAAATAATTTTCCCCAGCCACTGAGAGCCAATCATGTTACTGCTACTGAATCTTCAAGCTGGATTTTGGATACAGGTGCCTCTCATCATGTCACTAATGATCTATAAAATCTGTCCTTACATGCAACGTACGAAGGCCTAAATGAGTTGCATCTTACTGATAGTACAGGTTTGCGAATTACTCATGTTGGCTCTCAAATTCTTTCATTTCCAATGAAATCTTGTTCGTTAAATAATGTTTTGTATGTTCCTCGTTCGAAAGAAAATCTAATTTCTGTCTCTGAGTTTTGTCTTGCGAATAAGGTTTCCATTGAGTTTTTCTGTTTCCATTGAGTTTTTCTTTGATTGTTTTGTTGTCAAGGACCTATTCACGGGGGAGATAGTCACAAAGGGGCAAATTAAGAACTCTCTCTATCGTCTTTCTTCGCTTTCCAAAGGTCGGTCAGCGTCTTCTGTTGCTACAAACAAATATTTGTGTTCGTGATCCTTCGTCCATCTGGCATCAGCGTTTAGGTCATCCGTCTGCTAAAGTATGTCGTTATGTTTTATCTAAATTTCAGTTGTCTGAGTCGTTTGCTGCAACTTTTGATTGTAATTCATGTCGTTGTAATAAGAGTCATAGACTAGCGTTTGGTATTTTGTCTCTTTCTAGTTCTCGACCTTTAGAGTTATTGTATTCCGATTTATGGGGGCCTGCTCCTATTCAATCGATTGATGGTTTCAAATATTATTTAATATTTGTCGATCACTATACTAAATACATTTGGTTTTATCCTATTAAGGCTAAATCTGATGTTGCTTCTATATTTCTATATTTCCAGCTTTTCAAAAATTGGTCGAAAATATGTTTCGGACTAAAATTGTATCTGTTTATACCGATGGGGGAGGGGAGTTTGTTGCTTTGCAAACAATTTTTAGAAATAATGGGATTAATCATCTTCAAACACCACCTCACACTTCCCAGCATAATGGGACTACTGAGCGACGTCATCAACATTTAGTTGAAACTGGTCTCACTCTTCTTCAATCTGCCTCATTGCCCTCTAAATTCTGGTCTTATGCTTTTCAAGCAGCAGCTTATCTCATTAATCGTTTACCCACACCAATTCTTAATATGTCGTCTCCATTTTTTAGGTTGTTTCAAAAAGACCCAAACTATACTCGGTTTAAGGTGTTTGGTTGTCTTTGTTATCCTTATCTTCGGACCTATAACCATAATAAGTTTGAACAAAATCAAAGCCTTGCATCTTTTTGGGGTATTCATTGAGTCAAAGTGTATATTTGTGTGTTTTGATCCTAGTAAGGAAAAGGTGTATGTTTCTCGTCATGTTGTCTTTATTGAAAATCAATTTCTAGGCCATACTTTGTCTATGTCAGGTTTAGCTCCTTCAAGCTCTTGGTACGATTATTGCACTGATAATATTCCTAATTACCAAACGGTGCCGTTTCGACCTTCACATAAGAGTTCTTCTATGGACAATACGGTGCTGTCTCAAGTAAATCCCTCTTTACCTCCTTTTCAATTGCCATTCTCCACAACTAGGGTTCCCAATCTGTCTTCATCTCCTGCGCATACCCCTTCTTTGTCTAATTCACAGTCGGCCCAATCTTCGAATTCTCTAGTGTCTTCCCCTTAGGGTTCCCAATCTGTCTTCATCTCCTGCGCATACCCCTTCTTTGTCTAATTCACAGTCGGCCCAATCTTCGAATTCTCTAGTGTCTTCCCCTTCCTCTTCTTTTGCTGCTGAAGATAATCAGTCACCGTCCATTTCTCAATCTGTCCAATCTCGAGAATCTCACGATTCTCAAGTGTCTTCTTCTTTGTCTTCTACTGAGGTGTCTAGTTCTCAATCGAGTTCATTAATGTCTGAGTCTGGTTCCTCTACTCTTCCGATTCGAACACATCCTATGACTACAAGATCTCAAAACAATATTTTTAAACCAAAGATTCTTCATTCAGTAACGAAACATCCTCTTTCTGAATCTGAGGAGCCAACACGAGTTTCATTGGCACTTAAAATACCAGTTTGGCATCAGGCTATGTCTCCCTTTTACCAACTTCAAATGTCTTTCACAAACTTCGGCAGAAGCCTACTTATGTAGAATTTTTCCTAAGGTTTATATGTTGTGTGAATTTTGTTTGTTCAAAGACGTGTTTGATTGCACAATACGTTGGCACATTTGTCTGATTCAGCTGGTATACTTGAAACACTGAAAATTTGGTTTGAACTCATTGTAAAATTATATCTGTCAGTGCATCTGGAATAGAAGAGATTAATCCATATAGCCGACCTCAACTAGCTTAGAATGACAGATTTAGTTATTATTCAAAAAAGGTTTTCCAACATATTTCTCATAGTTAAGTTATTTTTCGCAAACTGGAGCCTCTTAGACATTCATAAGTTTAAATATTTCCAAGTTGGAGATTTATCAAAATGGGGAATCATCAAGGCTAAAATTATATTTTGCTTTTCAAGAATTGACCATATCGAAGCGGAGACTACTTGCTAAGTCAGACCACATAGTATTAGGATTCCTTTCATAACATTAAGATCTTAAACTTAAAATTATATTTTGCTTTTCAAGATTGACCATATCGAAGCGGAGACTTACTTGCTAATGTCAAGCACCACCCCCAGTAGTAATTAGGATATCCTTTTTCATAAGCACCTTAAGATTCTTAAACTTTCAGTCAATTTAGTTATTTGTTCCTTTTTTGTAGTATATTGTGATATTTATGGCCAAATTGCAAGCATGAAGGCAAATAAAAATCAAATAGAATTTTTCAATATTTTTATTTCTATGTTTGACTTGCTAAATAAGAATGTTGCAATTCAGGTAGGGAAGCACACACGGGAAACAGAACTTGAAGATAGGAAACTCAGGATTGAGGATTGCAAGAAAATGCAACATATGCATGCCGGATGGCAATAGAAAGGAAGGATAGTACCTGTGGTGGCCGGCGTTGCATTCGTACATCTCTCAAAAGCATATTTTTCCACCATTACAGAATTCTATGGATAGATCAAGATTGAGCAGATTTGTTGTTCTGGGATATTGTAGCAAAGTGTGATAGTACTTATTTTCTTTTCAGTTGCCCTCAGTTTATAGTTTATGTTTTTTAATTTTGAATTTGCAAGTAATGATTTTATTGATAACAATGATAGGATTCTTCTTTAGGGTATGAGTCATGCATCTACGATTTTTCCACTCTTTGATTCTAGATTAGAGGACGTGCTTTTGTGGTTATTTCATTATTTTCCACATACTGCTTTGCATTTTGCAAGAATTCATATCTTGCAGGTTTGTGAAACCTCACTCAATTATATGCCAGAAGACAGTAGGCAGTTATTTATTTTCAAAAACTGGTGTATATAATGCATATATGAAGTGTGAATGTGTGTTATATGTGAAATGCTGCCAAAAGTCCTTTTCATGGTTCATGGGAAGCTTGGCAATTACTAATGAGAGGAGCAAGACAGCATCTGCTGATAAAAGATGGCTGTAAATGCAGTTTTGGCAAAACGCTGAAGACTAAGTTCATAATAGAGCAGGAGATGCTTCCTATAAGTTTAAACAAGTTTCTTCCAGATTGAAAAATGTGCCAAATATATTTTTTATTCTGTGTAACTGTTTGTATGACTTATAAAAATAGCGTCTAAATAAATTATATTGATGAAAATTCTCCTTTTCACTTCTGCCGTGTACTCTTTTATTTCTTTTTTTTGTATTATTGGAATTAAGATGAGCTGTGCACAACTGCGGAAGGTAGCATCCCTTTTATCGTCCACTCTATTTTAGGATTTGAACTTGTCGACGACCTGATGAAGCATCAGCATCAATCTACCTGATGCGCAAGTATTCTTGGTGATGATCCCGGTTTTCAGGCACTTCTTGCACTTCCTGCAAAAACAATTTGCGACAAAATGCTGGGTTGATGGAGAACTTGTGGTGGAGAAAATCGATGTTCTAAATGTTCTGATTGTCGAGAATAATGGTTTCGAATTGTCAATAGACAGGTTGATTATATGAAAAGTTATCTTTTTGGTGGCAGTAGATGTCGATTCTCTTGGATAGGGTTTCACGGTGTGCGCTTCAGAGTGTGCTACCTCAAATTGCTATCTTTTGGATGCAGGAGTGGTCGATCCTTGTAGGGTTTCACGGTGTGCGCTTCAGAGTGCTACCTCAATTGCTGGATTAGTTCTAACAACTCAAGCTATATTGGTCGAAAAAGTAAAGAAGCCCAAGCTTCTTGTTCCTCAGGTTCCTGGAATCACACCCTAAGGGAAACAACCAAACAGTTAATTGGAAAGCCTCGAATGGGATGGAAGAAACTGTATGCTGTGGTTTGAAACGAATCTTGCAGGCTTGGGCACACGAATTTGGACTAAATTAGAGTATGACAGAAGCTTTTCTTGCAGAAGCCTTCTCAAGGCACGGAATTGGTAGATAGATTTGGGCTTCTAATTGAGATACTGCCATATTTGGTGAAAAGATTTTGTACTTAGGGTAGTTCTTGGCGTATGTTGCTAGAGTTGCTTACAACAAAGTGAGTGAGGTAGAACTACTAGGTAAAAGATTTTTTCTTTTGTCCATCTTCCCCTCTATTCTTAACTCCCTAAAAGCTTGCACCAGCAGTGTTGGTTGTGGTTTTTTTTTTTTTTAAGCATAGATGAAGTGAAATACTGTTTTGTAATCTGATTTGTGAAATTCCTTCAATTTTGTGGTAATGTTGCGTCAGCAAATTAACTATAAAACCGAAAGAAGTCATAAAATCAAATAAATAAATAAATAAATAAATACATAAAACAAACTAGTCATTATATCAGCATATTTTTCAGAATGTATCACAAGCTTTCTTATTATTCAAAAGGTAAAACATAACTGGGTTTTTAAATTGTGTTTAAATTAATATATAACTATGATGTCCCTAATTTATACTTTCATTTATTCTCCAAAAAAAAAAATCCCTAATTTATACTTTCGTCTATTTTCCAAAAAAATATGAAAACCTGTGTTTTCGTCACTATAAACACTTTTAAGGGAATATGCTCGCTTTTTAGATGAGATGACATGATAATAAGATAAATTAAACTAAATTAAGCTGTGTATTTATTTTTGACTTTTTGAATTAAAAATTCACTTTTTAGATGACATGATATGATAGTAAAATAAATTAAGAATAAGTTAAGGACATTAGATATTTTTCAAACATAGAAGGATTTAAATTAATTTGGGAACAAAATTATATTTTACCTCTACTTAAAATACCACCTTACTCTCATAAAGACAATTTGTATTACTCTTGCCATAACAGAAACAAGTATTGTTATTTGGAATTATAATGTGTTCGTGTTGGAGTTAATATTATTCTTATTTTTTAGTCATTATAAATTTTCTAATTCTTTAATCTCTTCTCTTAATATTTCTTTTTTCTTTTATAAATTTTTTTTATCTATATAGATTGTGTACAATAACACGATATATTAAGTTCTAAATCTAAATTATCAACAAAAATAGAATATATTAAATTTTAAATTTAAGAGATTTTTTTTATCTCTTTCTTTAAATGCAGAACATCTCCTGCCTCTTTGGTTTCTCTATTTGTCGTTCAACTCTTTCTTTCCCTAAATGATTCTCTCTCTCTCTCTCTCTCTCTCTCTCTCTCTCTGTCTTTGGTTTCTCTATTTGTCGGTTCAACCTCTTTCTTTCCTAAATCAATTCCTCTTCCATCTCTCTCTCTCTCTGCTCTTCTCTCTACTCTCTTTCTAGACTCCTACCCTTTTGCCTTTTTAAGCCCGAATCTGAAGCTCTCTCTCTCTCTCTCTCTCTCTCTCTCTTTCTAGACTCTACCCTTTTGCTTTTAAGCCGAATCTAGAGCAGAAACCATGAACAAAAAGTGACTCTTTTTTCCGAATAGGTAATAGTTAATCTTTAATTGAGCTAATTGTCCAAAACTTTTAAGATGAATCACCTATGTGAGACATCTTTTGTTTTGGGGATTGAAATCATTAGGAATAGGTCTAGAAAAATTTTTGGACTTTCACAAAGGTCTTACATAGATAGAGTACTCAAACGTGCCAATATGGAGAATTGTAAGCTTTGGCATGTGTCAATGACAAAAGGAAACAAGTTTAGTAAGAATCGATGTCCCAAGAATGAAATTGAGAAGCAATCTATGGTTAATATCCCTTATTCTAGTTCACTGGCAAATTTAATATATGCACAGGTATGCACTAGATCTGATATTTCTTATCTTGTGGGTGTGCGTGGTAGATACATGTCTAATCCTGGTTAGGAGCATTGGGTGGCTGCTAAGAAAGTAATGCGGTAGTTGAAGCATACTAGAGATTATATGCTTGTTTATTGGCAATTTAAAGAACTTGAAGTGATGGGTTACTCCGATTCATATTTTGCTGGTTGTGTAGATGATATAAAATCCACTTCAAAGTTCATTTTCATGTTAGCAGTCTCTTATAGCTTCATCTATTATCAGGTTGAGTATATTGCATGTTATGGGACAACAACTCATTCTATTTGGCTAAAGAATTTTATTTCTGGGCTCATGGTAATTGATTCTATTTCTAAGCCAATGAAAATATATTGTGATAGTATGACAACTGTGTGTTTCTCTAACAATAATAAACGCTCCAGTGGCTCTAAGATATTCGAATAAATTTTCTCACTTTTCAAGAGATGGTAAAGAATAAAGAAATAGATTTAGAACAGATTTCAACTAGAGACATGCTAATAGATTCTGTGACTAAGGCAACTTGTCATGAGACTTTTAAAATTCATGTGATGAATATGGTATAATTGAGTCTTTTGTTGTTCTTGATTAGCAAGATATTATTTTGGTTGTAACCATTGCTTGTTGTATGATTCCTTTCATAATAACAGATTTATATCCTATTTTAGGATATTATTGCTTGATATAATTATTAATGATCATCATTATGAAATTTATATATGTTTATAAAATGTTGCATATAATAATTTGATTTCTGTAGATTTTAGAAAGTCTTAAGTTGTACTTAAGCATGACTGTTTGTCAAGCTTCTTGGTGAATCATAAATGGGGTCTCGTGAGAGACTGAAAGCAGGATAAAGTTGAAATTATCATATTTTGTTAAGCATGACTGTTTGTCAAGCTTCTTGGTGAATCATAAATGGGGTCTCGTGAGAGACTGAAAGCAGGATAAAGTTGAAATTATCATATTTTGATCACATGATGAAGCTAATTTTCACACCACATTAAAACACATGTAGTTCATGTAAATAAATAAATTAGTTTTGTAATTATAGACTATCTTGTATCTATAGTTGATACAAAGATCGCTATATTTCGACATTAGTTGTTTATTGGATAGAACTGTGATGCTTGGAGCATTCTTTTGGATTATGATGTTCTTTTTTTAAATGAGCGGCCACATAAAAGTTTTCTTGTTTGCTAACCCAAGAGTCGTTTTCTAAATAAAATTTTTATTATTTTTCTAAATAAAATTTTATTAATAAAATTAACAATCAAATAGGGCGCCAAGTGGGGGAATGTGAATGTTAGAAATTTATTTATTTGGCCTTATTGATTGTGTTTTATTTGGTTTTATAAAATATTTGGGTTAACCTTTATAATCCAAAAGGTCTAAATTTAAAAGGAGTGATCATTAAGTATTGATGGGCTTGTTAAATGTGTTTGGCTTAAGTGTGGTTAAATCCTAACTTGGATTAGGATTGTATATTCTATTAGAATTAATGATGGGAGATCTTAATAGTTTTTATAGAGGTTATGTCCTCTCTCCCTAATCTATCTCGTCAAAACATAAAAATTTATATATATATATAGGTTATGTCCTCTCTCCCTAATCTATGTCGTCAAAACATAAAATTATTCCATCTACTGGGAGTTTATAGACATAGAGTGGAAGTACCTAACCGTCCACGGACAATTGTGCATGCTGTTTCTATTTGGTTCAACATAACATTTGGGATCAAGATGGTATTAATGGAAGCAGACAAGAGGATTTGAAAGCTATTCTATTTTTTATAATTTCAATTTATATGTGAGTATTTTGGACACTTAAACTCTAACATGTCTTATATAGATTAGAAGTCTATATTCTTGATTAGTGAGAAGTCTTTCTAATTTGTGCAAGAGTCTATTTTCCTAATTAAGGTACCACTCATGTGCCTATGCAAATGTGGCTTCTCATTAATAAGTATGACGCTCATATTTTTCTCTCAACATTTCTCCCAATTTTTTTATTATTTTATAAGAATTTTTTATTTTTTGTAGTTAACACTTCAAATTTTTCTAAATATGCACCATAAACATGTCAAATCTCAACCTCAATCAATTGCTAAAAGGGAATTTTCTAAATATGCACCATAAACATGTCAAATCTCAACCTCAATCAATTGCTAAAAGGGAAAAAAAAAACCAAAATAATGTTGAAGCACCTACTAAATGCTAACCATTCACCTTGATTTTTCTTTTTTACACAACATAAACCCAAAAGGTAATAACATCCATAAAAAAGAAACTAAACCAAACAAAATTAAGCTTATGGTTTTAACTTGTAAATCAAAATTAAACATAGTTTTTTTGACTTTTGAGGCATAAATCAATGTATGATTGTATCATACACTTCAGATACAATAGTAAGAAATAGAAAATAGGTAAACTCCTCTTGTAAGATCATATTTGCACACGATCTATGAACACCGATGTAATGCTACTTTTCATCAATTCTCCTGTGTGAGTATATTCATCCCCGTCCTTGTATAAGTAGTCTATCACACGTGCGAGATTAACTACACGTGTAAGAATAGGCATTGGTACTTCAGTGGGTTTAAGACATGCCTCGTTGATGTCCTTCCAAGCACTAACTATTTGTTTATTGAACTCATCTCGTGTTGCTTCTTCTGATACTCCATTTTGCTTCATGTAGCACTCAACAGCAGAGGCAACATGTCCTCTTGCTTGCTCAAACTGCAAAAATCCAAGACAATTTACCATTTACCATCTATCGTTTACAAGAACCAATAAAATTTTGAAATGCAAGATAATATATATATATTTTTCAATAGTAGGTTGAATCTCTAAAATGAACATTAATTGTCTATTTGAATTAATAGTCAACATAGTTCATTAAAATTAAAATTGATATAACATGATTGGATTGATTTAATTTGATTCGGTTGTTAAAATATTTAATTTGATTTTTTATTTTAATAGAAAAGATTAATTTTTTTCCAATTCAGTTCGATTTTCATTAAATCCAAAAAAACAATCTTGAATTCGCCTAAAAATTAGCTAAGAATTTAACTGAACTGATAAAATTTAACTAGTTTGCTTTAACTCTCTGCGCTAATCAGTTAAATTTGATTTTATCTTAAAAATTTTGGTTTATTCAATTTATAATAATTTAATTTAGTTTGAACCAAATTATCGAGTATAATTATGAACTTTGACAATAAAAATCTTATGGAACCATTAATTTTAAAATTGATCTTATAATATCTTGAACTTCACTTTTTATATAATTTCAACCCTTGCTATATTAGCAATAATAATTTTTATGGTTTTTCACTTTTATATGCAAAATACGATATGTGGTTAATACAATTTTTAGAATAATAATTTTCACATTAAATAACTATGTGTTTAATGATCTAATTTTACACGTTAAGGTGCTTAATAGTCAATTAAAGTGTTTACTAAGTATAATTTTATAAGTTAAAGAGTTTCACATTAAATAACTATATGTTTAATGATCTAATTTTACACGTTAAGGTGCTTAATAGTCAATTAAAGTGTTTACTAAGTATAATTTTATAAGTTAAAGAGTTCAATAGATCAAATAAAAATTAAGAGCGATACAAAATTTTTTATAAAAAAGTATAAAGGTAAATTTATTTATTGAGCAAAGTGTATAAGCGCATACCTCATGAGAAACAATGTCATCCATGAGCCTGCAAATAACAGATGCAGCTCTAACAATTTTAGGGCCATTAGAAGACCAGTCAAACACATCCTTTGTTGAAATATCTCCCATGCCAATAAAAGATGTGGTTGTAAGAAGAGAGTAACCACAAGTTACTAGAGCGATGCTCATGTACTCATCCATTGTTGGTATATAATCTTTATTCATCCAATTGGCTTCAACTAAGTAGGCTTGGACTAATTTCTTCATCTAGGGAATAAAGAATCAAATGAACACATAATAATCATTTCAAAAATAAAAATGCCAAATAACGATAATATTGATTGGAATTCTACAATTTATTTCAGTTTGATTTTTTTTAAATACGGTTCGGTTTTGGATTTGATAGAAAAATTAAATTTTGTTAGATTATTATATAAAATTTAAAATCTTAAAAATCTTAATTTCCATCCAAATGGATTTGATTTGAAAAAAATTAAATTTGAAAAGTATTGAAACTAAATGATTTGGTTCAATTCTATTTTATAAACAATTCAATTCAATTTGATTTTTTTATATAAAAAATTATTTTATTTAATTTATATTAATTTGATTCAATTTTAACTAAACCAATTGAATGTTCATCACTAAAAATTGAGGCATTAAGGGAAGTACTTCATCTTTGGCATAGTGAATGTAGGAAGAACTTCCTTGCTCGGATAACTCTCTCTCCATTTCGTCATAAATATCTAAAAGTGCCATGTAACACAATTTCATGTACTCTGGGAGTTGATCCATGCAAGCAATGTCCCACCTAAAAGATGATTTCAGAAAGTTAGGTTCTATAATGATCTTGACTTAACCCAAAATCAGGGGCCAAGCCACAACATACATACCGAGTAAATTCACCCATTCAACTTTTAAAAAAATATTTATAAAATATGATTAAATTGATAAAAAAAATATTAAGTAAGAAATTTTAGAATATTTAATCTAATTAATCCTACTAAAAATCAAATTAAATAATGACCCACTGAAAAATATTTCTAGCTCCGCGCCACTATCCAAAATAAACTTTGAACATATAGATGATACACATGAGCCAAACCTTTGAATTGCACTGGTAAAGATTATAAGTTCTTCAAGTGTCCAAAATAAACTTTGAACATATAGATGATACACATGAGCCAAACCTTTGAATTGCACTGGTAAAGATTATAAGTTCTTCAAGTGTACCATATGCATCGTAAATATCATCTATAACTGATGATATTGCAATTACTTTGGTTAAAAACCTTCTGGCAAGACTATATTGGGGCTCAAATTACACTCCTATTGTCCAGAAGTAGCACTCTACCACTCTGTCGCGTACGAAGGGGAGCTTTGTTTTGAGGTCTAAATCTTTCCTCCACCTGAAGTAACATAATAGAGAAGACAAATTATTAAAGTCAAAAGTTCACAATAATTTTTTAGGAATTTTCTCAAATTGTTGTTCATGCTACTGTAGCGATTTATTGGGTCTGTTCGAAAAATTAGTTGTTCTGGTAGTTGTTAGTTGTTTTAGTAGTGTTTAACTGTTAGCTGTTTGAATAACTATTTATAAAATGCTAAAAATTAAAAGTTACATGAGTTAACTTTTTACAAAAGGCTATCTTAGTTAACCTTAAAAACTAGTTCAAACGTTATATTATCGAACATTATAAAAAACAATGTTTAGCATTTTGATTGGTTAAAACTTTAAAAAAACTATTGCCGAACACAATCCTTCTCTATCAAAAAATTTCTGTATCTGAAAAAAAGTTTAAGAAAATTATATATATTATATAATTATATATATATACTGCTGAAAAGAAAAATTATAATGTTGTTTGTAATGAGAAAAAACGTTTAGAATAATGGAGCTTTATTCAAAAAAGTGAATTCTTGACTTAGGATATTCAGTCTCACTCCATATGTGATGGATCATGAGGGGAGCAGTCTCACTCCATATGTGATGGATCATGGGGAGTCATAGTTCAAGGACAAAAAAAATAAAATTAGATTAAAAGACTGATTTTATTTCTACGTTTTTGATTTCTAAAATTTTAAATTAAAAAAATTAATTTTCTGATTAAGATCAAAACCACCAAAATAAACCAATCCATTTGTTTTGGTCGATTTTATAAATTAATGTCCATGCTTATCCAATCACATTTTACATGGGCCTTATAAATCCTTATTTGAGAGGACCATCACGTATATTGCCCAGGGAAAATACTTACTTGGATTCATGTCACAGTAGACCAAACACGTGGTCTGGGTGGGTCTCACTTGCGTGGTGGTCTACAGGGAGAAAATCTTAAATAGATTTAATCTACCACGTCAGCTATAGACTCATTTAATGAAATAAAACTACATCAACAGCTTTTTTTTTTCTAACTTATTTAATGTTAATTCATTTATGTTTTCCGTTTGATTAAATATAAAAAACCTAGTTGTCTTGGTTTAGAAGTTAGGGAGTCTGTCTAAAACTTTCTTCTAAAAAATAATAAAAAGGTTGAATCAGAGAGAACCTACTTTGAGATATATCTCAACTCCTCCCGATGCATCTTTTGCAAGTTTGCAAGACGTTAAAATCCAACTTTGCAAAGGTCAGTAGTACTTCATTGTGGGAAGCATCTTCTTGGTACATGGAGATATAATGCCTTGACTCCAGCCTTTGCAAGCCCTTGCGTATTGGTTGCTTTAATGCACGACTTACTTGTGCAGCAAAAGGAGATCGCGTATGGGCATTAGCTATGGACTTAAGATGAACTGTAGAAAAGGCAAGCGCTTCCTCTAGTATATCTTCTCCATGGACTCTGAGATATGCAGCTTCATATAAGCTTAATATTCCTTGTATATCATTCTTAAGTGTTTCATTAAACTGCCCATTGCTATCCCTGAACTTGTTAAACACATCTGTTTCATGATACAACATAAGCAATATGTTAATTATTAATAACAGTAGGAACTATGGATGATATACTAATGATTAAAATTTAGGATTTAAAACGAAGTTAGAGATTAGAGGCTTTGAATCTAAATTATTATTATTATTATTATTATTATTATTGTGATAAATGCTCTTTAGTATGAAATTATTCCGTGATAGCCTCCTGTTTTTTAATTTCACGAATCAAACCTCTAACTTTATAGAGATCTTCCACTGAACTCAAATGTATCTCATCATTTGAGCCACTCTTTATGAATCCTTAAATCTATTAATACCACAGATACATAGAAACGGGTAGATGTCATCTTCAATAAAATTTTAAAATTTATTTTTAATATATTAGATAAAGGGTTTTGTTATAGCCTCTCATATTTGGCACTCTAAAAATATGATAATAAATTTAGGTTGTATGTATCAATACAAATATACTTCTAGATTGAGGTACTCATTAAGAAAAAGATAAAGAGAAGTATATACTTCGATCCAGATTTGCATTACACATTAAAACCTTCTATACACAACAAACAAGTAGAGAAGAACATACCACAAGAGACATTGAAACCCTGTTGTCTAAGTAATCGAAAGCGTAGAGCAGCACTGTGAAGGTCATTATAATTATCTGTAAGGGAAGGAGTCTAATTTGGGGAGAAGGTTGTATTAGGGTGCTAAAATGAGTTGGTTAACCCGACCATAAAAAGAGTGTGGGCCTCATGAAAATAATACTTTATTCATAAAATTGGGTACAATTTGAGATTAAAGTGCTATTGTAATTAAACTTCAAATTCAAAGTATTAGTAGAAGAAAGTTAGATTTAAGGTACAATTAAAATTACATGTAAAATTTGAATTTTGCTTAATGATTCGCCCCTTATTAAATTAATATCAATGTGAAGTAATATGTTTTGTGAAAAAATTTTTGAAGGGAAATTTTACGGTCATTTGATATATTATTTTATTATATTCATAGCAATATCCTCACTGATATACAAACAATAACTTTCCTTTAAAGAATTCTTCGCTGGCTTCTTTCCTTTTTTAGCAATAACTTTCCTTTAAAGAATTCTTCGCTGGCTTCTTTCCTTTTTTAGCACCATCCACTGCTAAAGTATCATATTTACGGAAAAACATACAAAAATGAAGTAATGCTATTCATAAGTAGAAATAAGCTTTACCGTGAATTCAGAGGCATATGAAAGGAAACGATCTCCCCAAATGTCCGGGGAAAAATTTGCCGTGCGCCGAGTAATATTGGAACTGGTATTTTGGTTTAAAGGAGGAGCTGCTAAAGCTTGAGCAGACATTTTAATTTGCTTATGCCGAAAACGAAACACATCCGCTAACCATTTTATACTAGCCCAAAAACAACTGTAGAGAATTAAAGTAAATTAACTTGTGGTCCTTTAATAACTAATAAGCGACGGATTTCTAATAACTTGTGGTCCTTTTTCGTTTTACGTCATTTCTAACCACAAGACTCACAAGAACATACATGCTCATGTTAATAATGACTAATTAGAATTGTTGTCGGCATGGATGGCAATTTAACCCGATCCGGTCCATACCCGATCCTATTTAACGGGTTTGGACACTGAATAAACGGACTTAAGACAGGTTTGAATAGTATTTGTATTACTTATATCAGGTTCAGGTTTAAGGACGCAGTTACTCGTTACTCGTTTAATAAATATTTTAAAAAATATTTAAAATAAAAAATTATATATACACACTTTTTAATTATAATGAATACTATAATTATTTAATATTTATATTATATTTTTTATTAAGTCAAAATAACTAATTTTATTCATTTTTACTTGCTTTTTAACTTTGCTTTCTTAATTTTAAAAATATATTATATTTTTTATTAAGTCAAAATAACTAATTTTATTCATTTTTACTTGCTTTTTATTTTAAAAAATAAAATTAAAAATATTTTTAATGTTAAATGGGTATTTAAACAGGTTCGAGTTTTTAAACAGGTAATTATAATTGAATTTAAGATGAGTTCATGTAGTAAGGATGAATTTTTAAACGAGTTTGGAATGGGTTTAGATACCTAATTTATAATAGGGTTCGAGTTCGGATAGTATATTTTAAGCAGGTACACGATCCATTGCTATCCGTAGTTGTGGGGCTTCTCAGCAGTTGCTAGAAAACAAATCTAAAGAAAACCTACCCACTAAATAAACAAAATATTAAGAACTATTAATTCATAGAACTAGCTCACTAAGTATAGCCATGGTTGAATTTTAAATCGGAATCGGCCAAAATCAGTACTAAAGTATGGTTTATGGTTCTTGATTCTAAACCGTGACTAAAATTGTGAATTTAAAATTCAGTTCTGGTTCTTCATTTTTTGAAATCGGAATAGGCAGTTTTGGTTTCAAACCCGCTGTTCCAGTTTGAAACAGTGAAAAACATGCTTTAAAGAAATTTTCAATATATTGTTTTGTTTTTATTATAATTTTTTAAAATTATTTTGAAGAATTTTTATTAAATTGGTTTGGTTTTTTCAACAGTAATTATTATTATTATTATTATTATTGATGCTACAAATTTGAAAAATCTTGAATTAAATTATCTAATTTCAAACAAAATCGAAACTGATGTTTTTAAAACCGTCTTAGAAACAACTTAAAAGTAATTTGATTTCGGTTCCACTTTTTGTATAACTGGAACCATTGATTTTAAAATTGAAACCGATGATTCTGAAACTATGGTCATACTTATAGCTCACAACTTTAGCACTCATATAGAATTAACTGCAAAAACAGATTACACCTAATAATTCTTGGCTTAAGCCCATAACTAAGCAATGTTTAGTTCATTTATGCACTCAAGTTAAACACTTAAAAAGAAACTGTAATACTCGATTTTTAAAATTTATAAACTCCGTTTTAAATTTAATTTTCATTATGAGTATTTTTGAGTATAATATTATAAATTAGTATTTTTGCTAATTGCAACTATATTGCATTATTAATAGAAAATAAAAATCAATTCATAAAATTAAAATAAAGGAAAAAAGTTATAGTGTATATATAGCAATATAGGAAAAAGCGTAAACTATATAACTGTAATTATCATTATATTATTAAAATTATTATTATTAGCTAATTAAGTATGATTTGATTGATCTTCTTATTTATATGAGGAGTATGATTTGGTTGATCTTCTTAAACTCAAATTTTTTCAATCACAAGTGTTTTTACAAATTTAATGAGTCTATTATTAATATTATAATTTTTTTAACAGTTTCAAATCTATCAAAAACAGCACAATCAGGGCAAGAGATCAGTTTGATCTGAATGTGAAATAGATTTTAAATTTTTTTAATTATATTCTTCAAGGCGTCCCCTTACTAAAAATTTCTGTTAAGGAAGATATAGTCACGTATAGTAATGACGCAATGCAAAGGTAAACCACATAAACGTTGATATTGATGTTTCAATTTGTTCTTTTTTTGTTTTTTTGTCCTTGCATTTTGATATTTCTGTGCTTGTAGTAAAATCACGTGGATGATTGTGTGAGCAACATTGATGGGTACTTTTTTTTAAAGAAGTGTATTTTCTATGTAAAAAGTTCTCAAAAATATTTTTAAAAAAAAAATCAGAAAGCATGCTTTATTTTTCTAAAAAAAATAAAATGATTAAAAAATCTCTTAACTAATAAAACAGTATTAAATAACAAAATAAATTGATTGTGTCCATATATGAAAAAAAATTTTCAATTATTAAATTTAAAATTATATTAAAATAAATCAAGTACATCAATCATAATTTTATTTATTTCAATACCATTTTAAAATTTTAGTTTTTATATAAAATCTTATTTAAAAAACAGTGACTTTAGTAATCTTATTTTCTTAAGGTTGATTGAGATTTAGCCTTCCCAGGCAATAACTTTTAAAATAATTAAATGAAACTGTATTTTGCACGGGTTACTTTAGTAATTTGTAACTTATAATTTATAAACCATTCATATTTATAATATATACATTGTATTTAGTATGTATTATAAGATTTATTTTGTGAATTATTAAATTATTGTGTTATAAAAATTGTAATGCAATTAATTTATTTAAAATAACTATAGACTTTGAATTAATCCTAACTAAGTTGGTCAGAATTTGCAATTCAATAAGATTAAACATTATTTTTAAATTGCAATTAATTTATTTAAAATAACTATAGACTTTGAATACATCCTAACTAGTTTTGTTCAGAACTTTGCCAACTCACCATAAGATTAAAAAACATTATCTTTTTTATTTTAGATACATTCTTATACACATAAAAGTTTTATAACTCAAATAAATTCAATGCGAGAATAATATAGTGATAAAATATTATTCTATAATATAATTATTAATTTAGGTAAAATATGAAACTTTAATTATTTAATACTAAATAAATATAACTTAATTATTAATACTAAATGTTAAATTTTAAATTTAAAAAATCCAACAAAAGACAAAAAAATAAAGGAAAAATCACTTTTTTTAAAAAAAAAAAAAAACACCAATTACAATCATCTAATAAAAAAAGAAAAATTTTAAATTCCTAATTACAATCATGTACATTGTATTCATATCAAGTATAAAAATATTTGGATTTCCATCCCATCACGTCTCTAGTTTCATAGTAACACTTCCATTGAAGCATCCAAGGAAGATTAACAATATGATGGTCAAATAAGTCTCGTCCAATATGAAGATTAATATTATTGAAGCATTTGACCTGACAAGTTCTAATTTCATTGTGGGTTTACTATTCACGTGATCATTTTGAAGGTGAGGCCTGGAGTATGAGGGACCATGTACTTGGAGGATAAAGCCACTTGCACCAGGAAATTTGGTGGAAATTGGTTTTATTGAAATAGTGCACAAAAAACATAGGTGTGCACGCCCAATCGAGCACCATGGGAAAAATCCGAAGGACGGAGTTAATCGAAACAAGCCCATTGATCAGTTCATTACCGAAACTAGGAGGATCTCTTCACGATTCCTTTTTGTAATGTGATTGGCTCGGTTTAACACTTAAATGTGTCGGGTTGGCTCTTTGGAGTGCTTTTGACTGTGTGTGGTGTATTAGAATCGCCTCCTTAATTTGTTTTTATTTTTTGGGAAAAGATTAACGGAAAAAACCTAGTGTTTGACTCCATTTTCAATTTGCCTTTTAGGATAAAATGCACTAGCCTCAAATCATTGGGTTCGGAGACTAGATTTTCGGGTTCTTTCGTATGAATCGGTAGTTTGGATTATAATCAAGAAATCAAAATTGTATTTTGCATGAATATCAGTTTATCGATGCATGAACATAGTTTGGATTATAATCAAGAAATCAAAATTGTATTTTGCATGAATATCAGTTTATCGATGCATGAACATACTAATAATGCATGACAATTATAAAAAAAACATTAAAAGCATAATTAATTGAAAAGTATGTAATTCGGAGGGGAGCCCGACTCTAGTCTCATTTATCGAAGATTTTAAGTCGTGCGACACATTTTCCTAAGTCTCGACCGGTTAGTTCAGTCGAGAGCCCGCTACCTAGATTGAAATCTATTGGTATGCCTTCATACCTCGTTTGTATGAGGATCAAGGCGCACGAAGTTTTATCATCGATTATGATGGTAGAATTTTGCCATTCTTAGAATGGGCTTGAAGGGTGCCCGACAGACCAGGCTTACATCCACTGGGTGCCGAACGGACCAGGCATAAAAGATATTAGATGTTAGACGGACCGGGTGTGAACCCCTCCCCCGAAAACAGGCATATAATGAATATGACTAAGCGGGCAGAAATGCACGTGAATGTACTGAGTTCGCCACCTCGGTTTAATTATTTTAGGGCAAAAATTTTAGGGCAAACTAGGAAAAAACCCTAAGTTGACTCCGATTTTAATTAACCTAATTACTAGATTAATTATCCCAATGTTTAAAGCATGGTTCGCAAACCCGAGGTGGATCCCGAGACCATGTCATGCTGATGAACTAACCTATAAATGAATGCTTTTGCAGGGTGAATGAAATAATTGGACCAATTGAAATGTTTATATGATTTCGACTTGCCGCTCGTGGTTAAATCCCAAACGTACCTACGTACTTCCGTTTGAAGTACTTCCGTTCGAATGGAAGATCAAAGTCAACGTAGTTCAATAGGCCTTTTTGAAAGGGCTTTGAATGGGTATGCTTAATTCATGAGTGTGTGTATGGTTCGTGCATTTTGTTTAGGCATTTTGCCTTCAAATTGTTTGATTTTTTAGGCATCTGTTGCCAAAAGTGTTGATTGGGCTTGTTGTTGCCAAAAAGAAGTGTTTGATTGGGCTTATTGTT